TTTTCAAATTGATTAAATCCAGGGCTTGCATTAACAGCGTCCTGTACATGTTAAGGACTCAAAAATAATTTGGAGGACGCAAAAATTGAAAATATTTCCGTTTTTTGGACGCAAATTTTTTTTAGGTCAATACTACAATGTGTTTACAACGATACCTAACAAAAACAAATAATTATGATCTCTCACCTTTATTTGAATCGTAAATAAGGCTCAACATGTTGAATATTTACAAATAATCATGATTCTCTCGAATTTTTTCGACTTTGTTTATTTTTAGATTTGAAACCATGACACGCCACAGTTTTTCCTATTCAGAAACAAATATTACTAGGTTATTCATGAAATAAAATGTATTCATTGGCGAATGAACGAACATGCATTTATTCAGTCCGTACTTAACGTTTACTTCCGTTTTAAATTCGCGGCAAGAAATCATGACAAGTAAGTTAATAAAAGTAACATTGGAAAGATGTTTTACTGACCTATTGTTGTGATGAAGCAAAGAAAATCATGTGACAAAATTAACTTCAAGGTGTTTTGGTAAAAAATGCTTTTAAAATAAAGTTATACCTCAAAACAGGCTAGAAATAAAGGACACACTGGGACTCACAAATTTTCTAACCTAATGCAAGCGCTGATTAAATCTCATCAATAGTTCATCCTCGATCAACTTGTATTACTATCAGCTACTGTTATGTATGTATGTATAAATATTGTCAGTGAATTTCTAAAATCAGTTAAAATTGCTATTTTCTGGGAAAGTTCATGGTCCTACCCAGTCCTGGCTTAAAACAGGTTAAGATACTCTTCTTAAGATCACTCCCTAGTTTAAATGTTTGTGCTCAGTAATTCATCATTAATTACAAACTTATGATTGTTAAAGATATCGGGTCTCCTAAAAACACAATTAGACTAACCCCCTGATTTTTTCGTGTTATTTGATGTAGTACAAGTTTATTTATCAACTTAAAAATTCTGAGGCTTGAATTAATTGGTTAACAGTATCAATTCGATGATTGTTCCTAGCCATGAATTTCCACTTTCAACAGTAGAAATTCAAAATAAAATTTAAAAAGCCCGCTCAAATTTGTTCCAGTCTGATTGGCTTTTTCCTTCAGTTTCAACAGATTGTTTTGACTCAGAGAAGCCATATTTATTACTTCTAAGGGGTTGAAATATAGATAAATCCCCAAAAAACATTGTATATAATGTTTTCGACTTATTGCATTCAATTCTGACAGTTGGTTGTCCTGTTGATTTCCTCAGTATATTGGTGATATTGTGATTATGATTTGGTCTCAAGATATATCTAAGGTATATGATGTTTTATGAGCAGTTATATTGGGACATAACTGATTGTCCAGAATAGAAATCTTGACGACTGGATCTCTTTAATTGCTTTCAAGCTGCTTGATTTGATGATTCTTCTACCTATATGAGACACATAGTCTTTGATACTGTTTTCATACTCTGATCAAGTTAGCTTTTTCTATTGCATATGCATCCATTACTTACCCAAGTTAGTATTACTTTATGCATGCAATAAGTTGATATTCTTTATTTCTTGTGTTTTAGCTGGAACAGAGACTCATCTTATCCTTATGAGCGATATGCCAACAAACAGTACAAAGTAAGTCGATCAGCTGACATGGAACCTGGATTTAGTATTTTACTGTATGCAAATATTGTTAATTTATGAATTGGAATTTAATAGAGTTATCAGATGTTGCATTTAAATCATCATGAGAAATCATGGGCTTCTATTAGTTCCTTTCTATTTTAAAAACCTTAAAAAACAGGAAGATCTGATGAGTATCAGAATGTATTTAATTTTGTTGCTGAGTGTATCTAGGTGACATTTTTCCTCAAGATGCGTAAAATTTTGAGATATGCCTATATTTTTCTAATGTTTTGAAGCTTGTATCTCTATTTACTGGACTTCTACTTAGCTGCCAAATCTTGAAAACAACTAATCTGTCAAAATAAGTAGCGCCAAATTAAGTAGAATTTCAGTGTGTCATTTGGATTAATGAATAGATTTTAGTTGGCATATATGATAGAATGAATATCAGTGTTACTTCTATTTGAAATTGAATAATTTGCATTTAATATTACTGCAACTAAACTCGTAGGATAAAGTTTCCATATGTCTAGACTCTACTTTTATACTGAAAGTCATTTCAGAGCTGCCATTTATTCTTAAATCTAAAATAACTCTCCTTTCAGTTCTACAGTGAGAAAATTGACTACAAGAACCTGAAACAACCTGCTGAGCGACCAGTCCTCCCCAAGATGGAACCAGGATCATAAACACAGCACATCTTATAGGAAATTGTATTATAGACAGAACAGTTGCCAGTTAGCCTATGCAACATTTCGAATAAAAAATCCAATTGCATTCAAATTATTTTATTTATAAGACCGTGAGTCTTGCTAGATATTGATTCCTGATGTTGATGTTATATTCAAATTGACTTGATAAACCCTTTATGTGATCTTTAATTAGTGTTGATTATGTGTATTTGTTCCAGTGTCCAAATGTCCTGTTAATAACTTGATACTCAATTCATGTACCTTGTATTTTAAAAGATCTTCAGCAACTAAATGTAAACTTTTTTGTCACAATTTAGTTAGCAAACCTGAAGCGCACAACATTTTTCTCCATTTAACTGCTTATGTGAAGTTTTGATAAAAATGACTGAAGTTTGAATAAATAGTGACACAGAAAAATGATGTATTTTGTTTGTTTGACCTACCAGTACATGTTATGTCACCACCAAAAAGTGACATATTGTTATAGCCACAATTTTTTTGTCACCACCACAATTTGTGACATATTGTTATAGTCTCCAACTATTTTGAGGATAGTGGTTGGTGTTGGGTGGTCGATGTTCCCCCTCTGTAACGAATGGCAGGTGGTGACATTTTGCATGTTGTTGCCTTGAACCAACACCCATTGCAAACATTAGATCGACTCTGATGTCTCAGTCTCACCCAGTATTAAAGCAACTAAGTGCTGCTATCTCATGAGAATTGAAAATCACCTCACACCACATAGCATGAACATTCATTTGCACTGTTCTGTTGGCAAGTATATATGAGATGTCATTTACTATTCTAGTTCCTGAATAAAGTATTATCGTATGATCTGTAAAATGAAGCCCTCTGATTGGTCAGTTCTTGTGCTGTACCAATCTGTATTGCTACTGAGATTGTCCCCGTTGATCATCTCCGTCGCAATACAGAAATATTGGTACGGAGGGGACAATCTCAGTAGCAATACAGAGGATCACACGATAAAAACGTTATTGAATGATTTGAGGTGCAATACAGGATATATTCTGCTCTAGAAATTCTGTATTGGAACGAGACGAAGTCGAGTGCCAATACAGAATATCGAGAATAATCTAATCAAAATTCTCAATTTGAATATGTTCCGGCCAAGCCCATGGAGCATATCGTAATATGGTCCTCCATGATGGTGAAGACACTGTCATATATCAGTGAACAGGATATTCCTATTTAATATTAATGGCTATCCCAAAATTCTGTACCATATTTATTGAATGTTCAATGATTGTTAAAGAGGGAATGGCAGAAAATATGCCAGCATAATTGGAATACATGTATATGATGGCAAGTGGAATATTCACAAGTGGTCTATGTCAATAATCTGCAAAGGCTAATAAGCCCATTTAAAGCAAATATATGGTTTAACAGTGATCGAATTTGGATAAAATATTATTTATCCCTTAACATTTAAAAATAGATGTATGGTTTCAACTTAAATTTGATTAATAAGATACTAGTACTGAACACTGGTGATGACTGTCAGGCTACTGCGTTGACATCGCCACTGTTTACCAGTAGTGCATGCTGTCTGCTCTGCACTGGGGACCACCCTATAATATGTATATGCAACTTCTAGTAATGTACTGGAATACTCTATTATGAACACTATCTGGCTTGCTCTATCAACATAATCTCCATATTGAGGAAGTCCAATAAGTTCCAAACCACAGATATAAATCATTTCAAGAATGGATTTGATAAGCACCTCTATAAGACAGAAACTTCTTCACAACTAACCCATGCCCCCCATGTTCAGTGAGCAATTAAACAACGCCCCCCCCCCCCTCTTTATATGGCATAAAAATAATATATAAAAGATCTGGATCATACAGCACCATCCTTCTTTCCAGAATAATAGATATAGATAGACTTACAACCATAGGCCAAGGGAAAAGTAATAGTAAGCTGTATATAGAAGAGACAGGTTCACAAGTAAGATTGAAAATTTTTCAAATTTTTTTAGTCTTGGCACTAGTTCTCCTTACTGGTATCAAATTGTATTCCCAAATCTCTCCAAAATCTTCTTCAAAGTGTTTTTCAAACTTATGTCATTGTTTTTTTCAAATCTTTATCTAAAAACTGCATATAATACTGCATATAAAACAACAACTATGGATATCTGCAATTAAATTGCCTGGCAAGCTGAACTGATTGTCACTGGTGGAGGTCAGGGAGGTCAGCAGTGACCAATCAGATCACTTGTTTACTAATGAACTTGCCAAGCAATTGCAGGTTTTCAGAAATTCTCTCTTTTAGACAGCATTATTCACTCTATATCATCTGACCGAGTTTCAATCTTAGGTAAGAGCTACAAACTATCAATTTTCTATCAACTCCCCATGGCTTTTTGAAAATAATACACTAAATATTGTTGAAATCTCCATCTTAACAAGTGGTCTAAGTCAGAGTTGTTCACTTGTCTCTTCTATATACGGCTTACTATTACTTTACCCTTGGCCTATGCTTACAACACGGAACTCTTTCATGTATGTATGAACATCCTCCGATCACAGGGCTTCAAACTGTCAAAATCCAGAATACTTCTTTGAAGAAGGAGGTACGGATTCTGGACACCTGCTTACTGCTTAGGAGGATGATGTATGAATTACATGGATAAAAGATCGTGATTCCTTGTAGGCAACCATAATTGATCGACCATTCAAATTTTGAAAAATTTAAGTCGGAAGAAATACCTGATCTTCTCGATATTTGCTGACTTTCCAGATATCTACAGAACTGTTGGTAGGTAGGAAATAAATCAAAAATAATTGCTAAACTATGAATGATGTATTGTATCGTGCCAAGTGAGTAAATAATTAATATAATGTAAAGTTCCCCAATTATCGCCCACGAGGAAATATTTAGCTAAAGTGGGGGCAAAAATAAATCTCAACCCTAAAAAGTTGTCACAGTGAGCTAAATTCTGATATTCGTGTCTCAAACTCTCCCAAGCGGTAGAAAAATAATTCCAAAATGAATCCAACACAGGATCTTGTAGCACGTTTATGATGACTGATATGGGGCTGCCTGATATGGGGCTTTATATAGAGAGAAGGATTATAACGCCGACAAATTTCGAAAACTGGAAGTAAAAAAAATATATGAATTATTGGTCAGAATTTTATAATTAGGGTCTCATTTTGAAAAAAAATCTTTCTTCTCTAAGATAAATGTCACTGCCTAACATTAAGATAAATTTAAATAAAAAAGTTTCTTTACTTTCTGATACCCATGCTAACGACCGTTAGGTGCTATACAACCAAAACTCACCTTTATAGTGATTTCTCCCCAAATCTTTCGCCAATTAACTTGTCCTTTACTCGTAGAATCATTGACCCACTAGAGATTTGTAGGGATGCTGCGCTTATGCTGTTCAGCCTGTAAAAATATGTTATTTTGCCGTTTTAAAATAGAATTATGAAAGGTCAGACGGGTCAAGTTTACTACGTCATTATTTCAAGATGGCGGCAGAGAATCGTCAAACAGTCGTATTTTTAAAATTAGTATGCTTTTACACATTTTTGAACAATAATAGTACAATTTGAACAGCGTATACCATTGCGTATGTGTGTATTACAACTGGATCAAACCAGAGATCAATCGACGAAACATTGAGGGAGAAATCGATCGATAAGGTAAACTATGAAAAATATGTCTGTATAGGACTTCATGGTCTTATGCTAAGGTAACAGATAATACGAAAAAATCATATTTGCAGCGTGTCTACAAGTAATATCATGACATGTATCAGGCCCGTAGCCAGGATTTGCCAAGGGGGGGTTCACTTTTTGGAAAATTCCAGGGGGGGTTCACTTTTGACAATTTGGGTCCAAAAAGGGCCAAAATCACTTAAAAAGTGCTCAGAATGGTGAAAAACTGCATGATTTTGAAAGAATTTTTGGCCAGGGGGGGTTCGCCCGAACCATGCGAACCATGCGATGTTGCAGCTAAATAATTTTTCTTAAAAATGAGACCCTTATTGTGGAATTCTGAACAATAGTTTTTTTTATTTTTTCATTTACAGAACCCGGAAGTAGTGAAGTGTTATTCCCCTTACAGGCCTGTCAACTTGGGAACACCTAACATGAGTGACTTGGAAATGTTGAACACCTTCCCTCAAAATGTGGACACCTTGGTCCAATTCTGAACACCTTGATCCAAATTTTGAACACCTTGGTTTAAATTTTATTACATCTTGCCAAATTTTGAACACCTCAAATTTTTCGCGCTCGCTACGCTCGCGTTTCATACAACCATCAACTGGGGGGGGGGGGGGGGGGGGGGGGGGGGGGGGGGGGGGAGGTACGAAAAATTTCAAACGGAATGCGGTCCGAACGAAATGCGTACATTTTTTTCTGGCGTTCGTATTTTTGCTGTGTAGACGATCTTTTTGAGAAATTTTTTCTACAGAAATATTTTTGCTTGACAATAACCAGGTAAAATGCGTATTTGCGTGACATTTTCTGTCACGCAAAAATAACTGGCGTGACTTCAAATTCTTCAGCAAATGCGTGACAAATACGCAAATTGCGGGACAGTTGACAGGCCTGCCCTTATTACTTCTTATACTATAGGGCCTATCATAGTGCTCATCTCATATCATAGTGCTACATGTCTCTGTGGAATCCAAAGCATCATACCTGCAAATGATGGATAAATCCCTACCAAATCGAACAAATGTTTTCATGAATCGCCATGTTTGTGATCCAAGGGGGATTGACTCACAGAATGCAACATCAGGTAACCTTATTTACTCGTGACAGATTTCAGAATGGCAGAACGGCATTTTGAAAGCTGACATGTGTCATGTTGCATTCTGGGAGCCAATCCACATTGCCGCATAATCCAGCTCCGAAATCACCTCAACATTTGAAGAGTCGGCATTAATATGTGAATTCCACTTCAAATTTTTAGTTCTTATTTGTCATTATGGACACGAATTCCACTATATCTGGACTTACAACTGTAGGACGGAGAAAATAGAGCACTGAATACACTGAGGTAAGAATTTATTACATGTGCGACAGCATGTAGCTTTTGTAATTCTTTATGGTGAGCACTGTAAAGTGAATAATCTAGCTCCTGTTATATTTTTCAGCACGGATCCTCTTCAGATTTAAGGTGCCATGGAAGTTAACAGGAAATGAAGAAACAGGAAGTGACCAAAAATTTGCATTTTTAGACATTTTTTGAACAAAGATAACAGAGTTCTGGTTTGACCTCCAGTCAATTTAACTATTTCCACATATCATTTACATGACCAGGATCACAATGTGCATGGTCAGAATGACCCTAAACATGATGAAATAAACTTTTTAGCCCTTTGAAAGTGTGACTGAAAAAAGTTAAAAGTAGGAGCTGGGGAAGGTCACTGAATAGAATCTTTTGAATTTTTCAGAAAATGTGCCCAATATAATGCCCTAACCATGGGCTTTCAACTAGAAGGGTAGGCAACTTCCCATATTTCATACATAAACATTGCCATGGGTTTTCAAAATTGGAGAATGTACACATTCCAAGAAAATCTTATTTTGTACTTTTTATTGATGATTAAAATAAATAACTCAAAAATAAAAACATGATCTTCTACATACACCTTGATAATTTAATAAAAATTGGAATTCATCATAATTATGACAATACAGAAAGTGAACATTCTCCCACAAATTATTTTTTTATTGGAATGTGTTCTTGAATAATTACCCACAATGCAATACTCAAAGAGAACATCTTGATAACTCTTATTCTTATTGGTCTCTTTTGTTTACTTTTATATGATATTGAATATATTTTATGCTTAAATCATATTAAAAATTGATTTTTATTCAAAATAATACTAAAACATATACATTTATCTCTAATACTTTTTGAAATATTGCCATAAAAGGGAAGCATGGCATTGCTCATTTTGAAGGTCTCATGTTATTACACAGAGTTGCATACCCTTCTAGTTGAAAGCCCATGCCCTAACTGATACAATCTTTGAAATTTTAGAAAATTGTCTTTAACAAAAATGGCGGTCAAAAAAAGGAAAATAGATCGCTTTTCAAATCATTTTTTTATTTTTCTATGAATGATATCAAATTTTCAAAGATTGTATCATTTAGAGCAATATATTGGGCACATTTTCTGAAAAATTCAAAAGATTCTGTTCGGTGACCTTTCCTACCTCCTACTTCTAGCTATTTTTCAGTCACACTTTCATAGGGCTGAAAAGGTTATTTCATCGTGTTTAGGGTCATTCTAACCATGAACATGTCACAGTGTCTAAATATGCAAAAAAATTTGTCACTTCCTGTTTTGTCATTTCCTGTTAACTTCCAGAGCACCTTAATTTAATATCTGGATGTAGAGTAAATACCAAATAAAATCAACATAATCATGATTTGTACTCTCTTTGTACTCTGCTATTAGTTTCAAAGGATAGGTATCGATATGGAGAACTCAATTCAACAATGTTTTTCTCTTAAGGTTCAGCTGGAAAGTAACATTTTGGTAAAAAATTGCTATACCTGCACATGTTATTTTCTGGTACAAAATTAAGTAGGAAGGAATGTGTGTATTTCCTTGCTTTTTTCAGGAAAGTATCATTACACTGTCTTCTTTTAGAATATCTGGATACAGGTCAATGATAGCTTCTGTGTTGTTTGTAAACTTTGAAAGAAAATTTGGAAAAATAGAAAGTGTGAAATATCAGAATTTCCTGGAGTTCCCATTGAACGCCTACCAGATATTCTAAAAGAAGACAATGTAATGATACTTTCCTGAAAAAAGCAAGGAAATTGACACATGGCTTCATACTTTATTTTGTACCAGAAAATAACATGTGCAGGTATAGCAATTTTTTACCAAAATGTTACTTTCCAGCTGTACCTTAAACCAATCATTGAAAACATTCTGTAAAAAACATGGTATTTTTTTATTTAATGCGAAAATTATTTAGAAATATTTTATATAACGGTTTTTGTTAACATTTTTTTTTTTTTAGTGCAATTGTTTTTGCTCCTTTCTACCAATTCTTGAGAATGAAATAAAATGTCTTTCCGAACCTTGTTGGAACAAAATAGCATATACAACATAGTTTTAGACCTCTTAATATTAAAGTTATACAAAGGAATTTTTCGCCAAGTGGAGTCAGTAAAACGATCGCATTCGGCATGTGGACTCAGTAATATAGCTGTTCTAGAGAATGTTACAGGTGTAGGGTGTAATGTCACATTAGAGGAAGATCAAACAAGCAGAGGGTGTCGCAGGAAGGGTGTCAAAGGAGGGGAGGGGTGTCAAATAAGAGACAGGGTTATAGGGGGGGTGTTACAGGGGTTGGTGACAGACAGGAGGGGAGAATGTCCCAGAGGGGTGTCAAACGAGAGGATAGTGTTACAGGGGCTGGTGACAAAAAGGGGAAGGATGTAACACTGTGACGAGCTTAGTCACAGTAGTGGAGGGGGTCACAGGAAAGTATCACAGGAGCGAAGGGTGTCAGTGTCACAGATGGAGGTGTCAAATAGGAAGATGGTATAACAGTGGGTTACAGAGGTTGGTGACACACTCCGCTGTGACATCTTCCTCTCATGTCACACCCCCTATTACACCATCCTCTTGTTTGACACCCCCTTCTGTGACATGTACACCCTCCCCACTTGTGACACTGTCTCCTCCTGTAACGCCCTCCACTTGTATAACATCCTCCTCTCATGTTACACCCCTTCCCCTGTGACACATTCCCTCTAAGACATCCTCCT